AACGTCTTTTCTCTGTGAGCCTGAACAGTAAATATGCCCGCACCTTAGCTGCTGTGCCCTCACCTCTGTGTGTCCTTCTGGGGAGGGATTTTGACCCTGCCGATCCACTCCACTGCTCAGTGGCCATCGGTGTACCTCCAGCGTGACTCCATGGTAGCTGTCTGGATTGGCAAGGAGTAGCTGTTGATGTGTCTCGCTTTCAATGAATGTAATTTTCTGAGGACAGAGGCTGAGGGGCTAATGAATAGGCACCAAAGAGTGAGAAAATAGCTTAAATTTTAAGAGAAAGGTATGTTTCTTTAATTTTTGTCTTCTTAATGATGAATTTTGTCTTTTTTTTTTTTAAAGAAAACCTTAAAGTGTGGAGAAAGAAGCAGCTAAAAACATTCGTGTCTAAACAGTGAGAAATACTGTTTTGAGAACACCAGTTTCATTTCTTCCATTATGTGTATAAATAAAAGTAGCGGAACAGAGCTTAAGACATGACAGAATACAATTTAAAAGCCTTTCTGATTTTTCCAGAGAGCCATTAGCACAAAAGGCATTAAAGATTCATCTAAATTTGACACAGTGTTTTTTGGCAGTTTACCCAAGGGGTTCCTGGATACACTGGGAGGATTTGTGAGTCAGACAGCTAGAGATTGATAACAGACTGAATTCCTTTGCTTTTTGATTCTACAAAATGAGTCAGTAGTAATTGCCAAAAAGTTGTTTCAGAATCTGTTAGGAATTACTAGGACAAAATCAGGATGGAAGCCATGTAGTCCTAAGTTTAGGAAGTTTAAAATTCAAAAGGTGTCTTTTAATATAATGATTATACTTTAAAAGAATTATTGTCATAATCATATAAAATTCTGTTTCATAGCTATCATTCTTTAGTGAACTGTTTGATTTTTTTTTTCCCATGTATTTGGTACAGGATCTCACTATGCAGCTTAGACTCATAGTGATCCTGTTTTCAGCCTCTCCAGTGCTGGGATTACAGGTGTGCACCACCATGCCCAGTCTCACTGGCCATCTCAGTGTATCTGGGGGTGGGGCCGGTGTAGCATGTGGTGCTGGGGATCAAACCCAGTCCTTGTGCTTGCCTAAGCAGATGCTCAATCCACTGAGCTATCTTGTGGGCCCCATTTGAATTTATTATATATAAATTATAGCTGAAGTATATGAGGTTTTCTGTATCAATAAGTATGTTTTTAAAACTACATTTAAGGGGAATATTACTTCTAATTTAAACCTAGTAGTTCCAAGTGCTTATAGTAATTGCTTGTAAGTGTATGCACACATGTTCAGTAAATATCAGTTGTGGCTGGATTCCAGAGGCTGTCACAACCTTTGGCAAGGTAGCCTATTCTCCATAAACTTGGACAATTTAGATCAGATGAGCTATTAAGTAATGTCTTTGAATATAATTTTTGAAGTGATAGAACATTTTATAACTGTTTCATGAGAGCAGAATGTTTTTATTGGATCTGTATGTGGACTATACTACTACTGTTTGCTCAGTAAAGAAATATCTGAGTAGCATCTTATTTGAAAAAGTAAAGACCAAGTCTATTATGGTGACACGTACCTGTAATCCCAGAACTCTGGGAGGCTGAGACAGGCAGGCAGAGGTTTTAAAATGTTGTTAAGGAAGTAAAACAGTTTATTGGTATCACAACAATTCTGTGATCCTACCTGATAGATTTAATGTGTGATAAAGGTCCAGGACCTTAGAACAACAATTGGCAGGGTATATTTCTGTTTAAGCAAACAAATTCTTTGATTTATTTATCTAATAAGTTTTTTTTTGGATTTTAACACCCATCAGTACATAAAACTGCTTAATCTTAAGTTCCTAAAGTTTTATTTTATACATGCCAAACTTAACATTTGAATTATATGTGCTAGAATTGCTAGCAGTATTGTGAACAGTGATCCTAAGACAGCCACTTCATTGTGTCGAGGAACCCCTAGCAGACCAGCAAAGCAGGCTCCTGGGTGTGTCTGGGCTGATCGCGGAGGCACAGCCTTGGGAACTATGTGGCCCGTTCCCCGTAGGCTCTGTTCCCTGCTCTCCGCCCCAGCCGCCCTGGATGTAGCAGCTCTGCTGCATCACTGCCTTCTGTCCTGATGTTCTGTCTGGAGCCACCTATGGATGGAGCCCTCCCCCCATGACATAAATCAAACTTTGCTTTTTAAAAGTTGTGCCAAGTATTGTGTCTTAGCAACAGATAAACCACTAACACAGCTATCAAGTTGTCATTTTTAACTATTGCATTTCATTGTTGTCATATAAAATGTCTTTGATTCTGCACAATAAACATCTGTCTTGGGGCTGGTGAGATGGCTCAGTGGTCTAAAGCACCTACTTAGAACAAGCTTAGCAAAGCACAGGGACCGCGGTTCAATCCCCCTGAGCACCACATGCCAGCCAGCCCTGCCCCCTGGTGGGCTGAGCTGGCCACACACACACAAATATAAATAAATAAAATAAATTAAAAAATAAAAATAAAAAAAATAAACATCTGTCTTGAGTTCTGCCTTTGTATGTATAATGGTTCTGGAAACAAGGGCTTATGTTCCTGAAATCTACTAACCAACATTTCTTCTACTTTATTGCTCCTCACCTCCACAACAGAGATTTTGAGTATTTCTTCAATGTCAAGAGTTTGGAAGGGCCAGCCAGATAGCTCAGCAGACTAAAGCGCCTGCTTTGGCAGAGTGCAGTGGCCAGGGTTCCATCCCCAGCATGCTGTGCCTGCCCTGCCCTTGGACGTACTGAGATGGTGATTGAGACTGGGCGTGGTGGCATGTGCCTGTAATCCCAGCACTTAGGAGGCTGAAAACAGAATCTCTACATAGTGAGACTAGACACCCTGTAGACCCTGTCCTATATTCATTAAAAAAAAAAAAAAAAAAAAGTTTGGAGTAAAAAGAAGAAAATGATTCTATACAAAAAGGAACATGTAATTATAATTAATTGGGATAAACTTAGTAATAAAAGTGTTTACTGGGATAGGGAGTAGCACCGAGCAGAGTATAAGAGCCATGGAAGCAGTCACCATGTTTGATTTGTCCTGTGTAGCCAGCACCTAACAGAATGTGGTATTTAACAGATTCAATACCTAGATTTATTTAAATGAATGAGGTTAAGTCTGCTTTAGATAAGAAACAAAGAACCTTCCTAAAATGAGGTAAGATCTGTATTTTAGAAGTCAAATAGGTGAAGGAAAGGATATGAAAATGAATGACAGGCACAGAAAGCTGTGTGAGCGAAGGTGAACTTCATGTTTTGGCAACTGCAGCTATTTCAGATTGCTTCAGCATAAGGTGTAAATCAAAGAGCAACCTAAGAGGGCTCTGTATTAGTGAGAAACTTAGAACTACAGGTACCTTTTGAGTAATCAATGACCACTTTACCTTTTCACATTAAAAGACTCATAGACCTGTATTTTATTAAAGTATGAAAGCATATTTCTAGCCAAGTTTTTATTTAGAAGCCCACTAATCAGTAAGATACAGCCAGTGGACACCTTTTCCCTTATCCTAGTAGTCTTACATGTCTACTAGGATAGTCACCAGATTCCTCCAGGTTTGAGGAAGGTTAGTGAAGGTTTTATTGGAAAACGCCCAAGCCTAGGCCCCAGCAGGCCCAGATTCAAGATTTAGCAGTATTACTAGTTAGCAATAGGATTATTGATCTCTTTTTAAAAAATCTCATCTGCTAATTAGAAGGGCTGAGTTAAATGACCTTTGAAGTCACTTTTATTCTAAAAATACTATCTTGTAAGTCTATAGCTATCGTTTATGTATTGAACAAGATGTAACCCTATTACAGCTGCATTTTTAGGACTATATTCCAGTGAAACTAAGGGCAATGTGTGTGTGTGTGTGTGTGTGTGTGTGTGTGTGTGTGTGTAATATGTGTGGACATTCATTTGAAAAATATTCAATACCTTCTGTGTGTGCTAGTTTTTCCTGTTTAACTTTTGTAAGTTTTTCTTTTTAATGTTAAATTTGTATTGGTAGAATATATGGAAATATCATTTGAATTATGGGTCTTAAAAGTGAGAGAAATTCTAACAATGTACCCCTACGTGGTGATCTCAGTTAATGAGAGAGAGTGGGCCAGTCCCACACTGAATGCTCTTGGTCAGTACATATTGTATACTGTTATCTAGGGTTACACCACCTTTTGGATAGTAGAACATATCTAAAACATGGATTGTGCATCTCGAGGAACTACTTTTTCTTGCCATTTATTTTGTGAGGAGGTTTTGAGTCATAGTGAATGATAAAGGAACATAAGTAAAGATTGTTTGGACAAAGAAGATAAAGATTATTAAGTGACTATCTTACAGTGAAAGGTGTATGTGTTTGTGTTTCCTTGTTTCTGCAGTGCTAAGGATTGAACCCAGGTCTCATACACCCTAAACAAGCTTCCTACAGAGCAGTAGACAGTCACAAATTGCTGAGTACCCACTTTGTGTCCTTCAATAGAGGGTGACTTTGTATTCACAGATATTAATCAGGAATAATATTTGTATCTTGTGCACCCTGCATAGTGCTAGAGTGGAGATACGTTAGTGAACACAGTGAGATATATACATTCATGGGTTTCATCATGTAGTAGGAAAGATAAGAGTTAAACAAAAACTGTACACTGATAGGTCAGTTTTGCCCGAACAGAATGCAGAATGAATGTTCTAACTGGTTCCTGGCAAAGAACAATAAACTGCATCTTGTATCACCACTTCAGCCTCTCCCTCCCTAGTCCTGTTGCTGCATTTTAGTGCAACCGTGAAGTAAGAAAAGATATTGAAATATTATACACTTAGGTCACTGGATTTCTGTGGCATCTGGAGCTCTGAAGTATGTGTGGATAGTGTATGTGGTTGGGAAGAAAAGGTTGAGAACTCCTGACTTGGGGTCAATAACATTCATTCTAGATTTGTAGACTGGCTCACATTCCATGAAACAATCCTACATTTTAATTACTTTGCTTTTGTTTATAGGTCCAGGGGCAAGTTCATCCCACTCTTGAGTCAAATGATGATGCTCTTCAATATGTTGAAGAATTAATTTTGCAGTTATTAAATATGCTGTGCCAGGCTCAGCCCCGAAGTGCTTCAGATGTAGAGGTATGACACATTTTGCCTTATATTTAATGTATACATCTGTGTGATTTCTGTAATGTCAGTGAAGGTAGAATTTTTTTCATTTCACAAAGGGTTTATATATATGATACATAATAAAGTAAAATCTGGATCTTTTTATTATTTATTTATTTTTTGTGGTGCCGGAGATTGAACTCAGGACCCTGTGCTTGCCAGGCAAGAGCTTATTCTACTGAGATATCTCCCCAGCCCCAATCTTTTTAAACTTAGTATTGAGTGCATGATGGCTTGTATATGTTATAGTTATGAAACTAGTACATATTTTACTTTTAAAACAAAAATGAACAATTTCTTGATACTAGAGTATTCTCATATGTTTATGAATAGAATATGTTCAAATATTTCTTATATTTGGCCAAGCTAGATAGTTCGTCAAAATAATTCCATTAATCTTAGTAAGATAGGAGCACTGAGAATGCTACAATGTCTGAATGAGTGTAGCAGAAGAGGTTGGGGCCAGAGAAAGAGCAATTGAATGTAAGATTTCATTGGTAAGTATGGTGGCCCCTGAGCAGAAGTGAAGGATCCCAAGACAGAGTACTGACAGAGTACTTCATATGTCCTTAGGAGAGGCAGCAGTGCCACTCAGGATGGTGATAGGACCTTACATGAGCATAGAAGAGTGGTACTGTAGAAGCAGCATAGAGAACCTTTCCTGCGGATGCTAGAATAAAGAATTCCTATTCCAGAAGCCTTTAGGGGAGATCCAGACTTAGTTCAGGCAAAGAAGTATCAAGGAATACTGAATTATAGAGGTTGTAGATGTAGAGGAGATAGTGTACGTGGAATAGTAATTCACTTCAATTTCTTAAGTGTAATCAGTATATTTCTTATGTTTCCCATTGAATTATAAAATAATATTTTTATTTGTAATTTTCTTCTATTTACATTGGGCTTCACAGAATGAATCCTCACAGAGAACTTGTCTGACCTCCTCATTAACTATTCCTATTAGGTTCCCTACAGTGTTTATAAATGCAGTATACAACCTGTCTTGCATATTAAAATGAAGTTATAGGTTTTATCTTATTCTGATGTTGGTAAATTCTAGGAGTTTATTAGTTTGTTAACACTGCATACTCAAATTCATCTCTTGGCAGATATGTTATGTAGTATTGTGCTCGTTTAATTTTATCCCTGTAATTTAATATATAGACTAATTCATCATTTCCTAATACTGAAGGAGATCACAGATTCTTAGAAATAAGGACAAGTCCTTCAGTTTTCCACTTGCATAGACTTAATTCATACCTAGATTCAAGGTTCTAAGAGGTATTTCATAGCTTTTAAGTGTTCTCTTAGAAAAGAACTTTTGAGATATATAAGATATATATCTTATTCTCTGCCTTATTAGTTTTAAGCACTTTACCTAGCTCTTAAAATACAGGCAGTCATATGGGATTCCAGTGAGTTGGCTTTAGGGTTGAAGGTGGATTTTTTTTAAAGCTTATGTTATAACAGTATAATAGAAATATCGATTAGGTACGTATTAGGCCTTGTAATTGTGAAGTACTGCTATGTAAATTTTAATGTCATTACCGCAAGCCTGTAAGGTATTATTTCCTGTTTTATATATTGGAATGTTGACTCTCAGAATAGATAGAAATGATTGATTAGTTTTTTAATCATTAGTCTAATTCTTCCCATACCATTCTGGAAAAGTACTTAGATAAAAATAAAGAATATATAGGTACGGAGATAAGTATAATGGTGTTTTAGTATGCTCAAAATACCTTAGGCTGGAAATTCATGAACAGCACACATCTGTTGCTTATAGTTAGTTCTTGGAGGTTAGTAAGTCCAAGATCAAGGTGACAGTGTCAGTGTGTGGTGAGGGCTTGTGTCTGCTTCTGTGTGTCCGCATGTGACTGAAGCAGGGTGGCCTTCAAACTCCTTTTTAATGAGCACTGATCCACATCATGAGGATGGAGCCCTCATGACTCCTCACCTACTGAAGCTCCCACTGAGATAAAAGAAAATAATGTGTTTTGAACATTCCTTCCACCTGCTTCCTTGTCCTTCCTTTTTTTTTTTTTAAACCTGTGCTTGCTGCTTCAGTGTTCTGGATCTTAATACCACTACAGTGGAGGATTTCAGGGTTTCAGATTATAGCAAATGGTGTCTTATTTTCTTTTGTTAGGAAATACTTTTTTGTTTACTTCATCCATTACGATCCAATATTTTAAAAAATACATTTACAGAGCTTTCTTTTAAAAGTAGTAAGATCTCTAAATTTATTAAGTTCTTCATATATATTGGGGTGACACTCTTCTCTTTTCCAAAAGACATGTTAAATCTATTTAGAATGGTTAGTTTGACTTCAGCTTCTCTTATTTTCCACTGCCTTTCTGTCTCCATTAGACACGAGTGATTTCTAAGACTCCAGGTTGGGATTCATGTGTAAATCAGAAAGTTACTTTGGTGCACTGGCCAACCAGTGTTTTTCTCTCCTTCGGGGATTGCACCGAGGCCTTGTGCGCGCTCTGCAAGCGTTGTAGCAGTGAACCATGTATCCTGCCCACTTTAAAAGAAAATTATTTTTAGATAGCATCTCAATAAATTGCCTATGTTGGCTTTGAATGTGCAACCCTCCTGCACCAGCCTCTCCAGAGTTACTAAGATTGAAGGTTTATGCCACTGTTCCTGGCCCAACTGACATTGGAAAACAAACAAACAATAGAAAGACTAGTGTTCTTCATATAATCGGAACAGGTTTTATTTATGAAGCTGTTTGGTTGAGTATATGTGTGATCTGTGAGTGGAATATAAAATATATGGAGAATTTCTTTTTACAATGGGCTGAATTTTTTAAAATGTTAGAAAGCTTCAGGATCATGCCATTAGTAGGGTTGTAGCCATATATTTGGTTAACCATGGGCTAAACCCATCATTGCAGATAACTTTTTTTTGTGGAACCGGGAATTGAACTCAGGCCCTTGTGCTTGCCAGGCAAGCGCTTATTCTACTGAGCTATCTTCCTGGCCTCTATTGCAGATATCTTAATTAAAAGCCATGGTAAATTTAGTCTCAAATTTCTTCTCACTGTTGAATTATCAAGTGTATAGAATTGATTTGGATGAAAGAAAGTGATTTCTGTCTTACATATTCCCTTCACCTGTTTCCCCCTTCTCTTCTGAAAAGGGAAGAGAAGGGAATTTCTGTCTGCCCCTGCTTCCCAGTATTCTGGATGTTAGTTTTCCTTTATCCTATGTACATAAGAGCAGCATCTTGACAAATAAGTTCTTAGCTAAGCAGTTGAAAAGATTAAACCACATTTTTAACTACAATCTCTTTCAAAACACTTACAGTTACATTAATTAGAATTCAGATGTTTATTTTTTAAAGTTGGCAACTGACTTATTAACTCCATTGGGTATCATAGAATCATTGTATTCCTCCTTGTTCTAGAGTATCACATGGCGATCTCTTTTTATTTCTCATTTTAACACAACTGATAAAATCTTTCATTGAGATTTATAATCAAGGAGCTGTGTTTAATTTCATCTAGTTTTTAATATACTACTGGTTGACCTTAAATGTTAAAAGTTGTATTATGGCGACCTCTACTGGTTTAAATTGCGGTATCTTACAAATAAGTTTAAGACTTGCAGCAGGGTTTAAGGTGCACACTTGTAATCCCAGCACTCTGGAAGCTGAAGCTGGAGAATTGCAAGTTGTAAGCCAGCCAGGGCTCCTCACTGGGTTCAAGGCCCACCTGGGAGTACATAGTGAGACCTTATCTCAAAAATTAAAGACTAAAACCTTGAGAGGATGAAAAAGCACTTTTTATTTGAAATGAATTACATTAGTTTATTTTAAGGTAAGGAAATTCAGCTGTTACACTAACTGAATTGTTCATTTCCAATGAAAAATTTAACTGAATAACTGCTAGATATTAACTTGAAGTATTTTGTTAAAAATCAAGAGCTTATAGAGAACTGTAAACTACAGTATATTAAAATTACTGTTACAAATGTAATCCATTGATTGTCACTTACAAATACTTTTGAAGTACTTTTTCATGACAAATTAATTTTTAGAGGTTTCAACTTCAAAATGCTAATTGAGCTTGTAATTAGTATTCGAATAAGGACAAAAGGATTTAGCCTAGGTCTTTTTTTTATTTTAGGGAAGGATCTACAAGGTGTTCAGGGTCTCACTACTGGATCAGATTTGTAGTGATCTATCTGTCTGTTTACAGCCTCCCAAGAGCTAGGATTACAGGCCACAACACCACGCCCAGTTTCAATTGCTGTTTTAGCACCGGGGTGGGGCTGGCATGGCAGGCCCTGGGATTGAATCCCCAGCCGCTGAGCCTGCTTGCAGGTGCTTTAATCCACTCAGCTATTTGGCCAGCCCTGAGTTTAGGTCTTACTCATTATAAAAGTAATGTTTAAAAACAGACTCTGCTCATTCTTGTCATTAGCTTTGTCACAGTAAACTTGGAATTCAAAATATAATTTTTTTCCTGTATAATGGAGTGCTTTAATCTCTTAATTACCTAATTAAAAAGTAAAAACCATGATAATTTTAATTTTCTCTTAAGTATATTTATAGTGGACACTGTATCATATGTGCAAAGCTCTATTTTTGGTATTTGATTTTGAAAGTAAATTTTAAGAGAAGAGCACTACTTCATTTATTTGTTACTTAATTGTTATTTTTCTCTTTTTTAAGGAACGTGTTCAAAAAAGTTTCCCTCATCCAATTGATAAGTGGGCAATAGCTGATGCCCAATCAGCTATTGAAAAGAGAAAGCGAAGAAACCCTTTATCTCTTCCAGTAGAAAAAATTCATCCTTTATTAAAGGTAAAGTCCTTTGACTTTCTTGTGTTTAACAAGCAAAATAAAATCTACTCATTTTTCCCACTAATAATGTTTCAAGAATAAAATTCTTTCATTTTAAGTGTCTAGGGATTTATCTGGTGGGGAAGGACTGATGACAAAGTATAAATTGGGTAACATGGTTGAAGTTAATTTCATATTGGGTAATAAGCAACTTGAAGGTATTAAGAAAAATTATTATTATTATTATTATTTTAAATCTCAAGTGTTACCAGAACCAAAAGCACGTGTATAATCATCCTTTCTGTTGGTTTGACCTGAGTGTTCCTATAACATTAATTTGGTATGGCCAACCTGCAGCCTGCCTTCTCCAACCCACTACTTTTTTTTTAATGTATTTGGTACAGGGTCTCACTGCACAACTCTGACTCATAATGATCCTCCTGTTTTCAGTCTACCCAGCACTGGGATTACAGGTGTGCACTCCCACGTGTGGTCTCTGTGGCCAGCTCAGTGTGCCTGGGGGCTCACACCTGGTCCAGCCAAAAACAGTTCCTGTTCACTCAAAAAAAGGAGAGAACAAAAAAAATGCTGCAAGCTGTACATGGAATATTAATATTTTATGTAGGAACTTTTGTGTAATTGACATAGGTCTGTGTTCACTCTTATTTTTCCTTTTAATCTTTTGGCAGTACCAGGGATCGAACTCAGACCTTGCACTTGCCAGGCAGGCGCTTACACCACTGAGCTATATCCCCGGCCCCACTGTGTGTACTCTTTTAAACAGAAATCCTTGCCCTCCCTCAAAAAACCCCCCAAATTCCCTAGAGATCATCTAAACTAGTCTATCCTACTTACCATTTAAATCAGTTTAATCTCTGTGGAACCAATAGAATAACTACTGGAAACCCTACTAATGTTTCCATTTTATTTACTATAATGAACAAATTATTGATTAACTCATGACAAAAATATAGTTATTATAATAACATACTTTCAGAGTTCAATAACTTTGCATACATTATAATATAGGCAAAATGCTGTTTGCATATATTGTCTCCTTTGAGTTTTGTTCTTTAACAAAATTATCATTATCCCTTCTACTTTATAAATAAGATAGCAGAGATAGAAAGTCATTAAGTAACTCCCTGGTCTGAACTCACAGCACTTCTAGTGATAGTGTGAGTGTTAGGAAATCTTAAGTCTCCTTTATGTCCAAAATTTAAGGCTCACCAAGAGAAGGGGGTTATGGGGCACAAAGGAGGGGCAGGGAATTAAAAAAGAATTGAGATGTTTTATGTACATGTACCAACTCCCTTTGATGAATGTAATCATTATATACTGAAAGTGTAAACTAACTTTACAACTTAAAATAACAAAATTTAAGATTAAACACTTGGGTGATAAACATTTAAGACTATCAGAAGTTATATTTTGCACTTTGTGTTTGAATAGAAGTATGCACCTTTATCCTCATGACAGGTCTGAGGAAATATTTTTTTTTTTTTTTTTTTTTTTTTTTGGCAGAACCGGGGATTGAACTCAGGCCCTTGCGCTTGCCAGGGAAGTGCTTATTCCACTGAGCCATCTCCCCGGCCCCTGGTCTGAGGAAATTGCAAATTATGGAAAACTGCTAAATTTTTAATAATGGCATAGTTTTTATATTGCCCTTTTTGAGATTTTTATTCACTATACTTTTTTGGGGGGGCACTGTAGTCGCCTGCACTTGACTAAGCTTGCCTAAGCAGGCACTGTAGACCACTGAGCTATCTCACTGGCTCTTATACTTCTATTAGAGTCTGAAAGAACAAATTGAGATACGTGCATGTTAACAGTTATTCTAAATCTTGAGTTTTGTAATGTAACTGTGGATATCATTTTAACTCCTTATCATGATACAGTTAATAGTTTTTATATTACCATCTATGAAAGGTAAGTGCAATCTGGCCTTAATTTATAGTAAACTTATTTCAAAGATTTTCCCCCTTAGCTGAATTATTTAAAATTTGTTCACTTTTTAGGGACTAGTCAGCTTCCCAAAAGATCATATTCTATTTGGAGTCTAAGAATAGCACTGTCTGATATACTCTCACTAACTACCATTTTTCAGTAGGATATAGAATGATTTTTTTTCATAGAAACAGCTACAGATACCAGGAATATGCTCTGAGAGTTTGGGGGAACCTAAGTTCTTTGGGAAATGATAGAAGTGTAAGATTAATATATATTCCTAGATATCAACAATAAAGTCACAAAAAAACTCACTTGTTGTAGTTATTTCCAAGTATTCTTACTGAGGTAACAAAGAGCACTTGCTCCCCTATACCAGACATGGGTCCCCCGTTAGGTTAGGGATTATCTACTTAGTAATGTATACTTTTCAAGTATTTTGTATATGAACAAGAGTAGTTTTGCCCTGCTTTTCCTTTATATTTTTTAATCATACATACATTATTCATAATTGAACCATTTAATAATAAATTATAAAATTATAAGTTGGTAAGCAAAGTTTTCGGTAAAAGTTAAGCTAAGTTGCATGTCTTGATTTTAATCAATGTGTTAAATTTTTAGTATGATATTTAAATATGCTTTGCTTTCAATTTGCAGGAGGTCCTAGGTTATAAAATTGACCACCAGGTTTCTGTTTACATAGTAGCAGTATTAGAATATATCTCTGCAGACATTTTGAAGCTGGTGGGGAATTATGTAAGAAACATACGCCATTATGAAATTACAAAACAAGACATTAAAGTGGCAATGTGTGCTGATAAGGTAGGAAACAGAACTTGTGGGGTGTTTTGGAGGTTTTTTCGGTGGTGGTGGTTGTACTGGGGTTTGAACCTAGGGCCTTGTGCATGCTAAGAAAGTGCTCTGCCACTGAGCTACATACATCTCTAGGCTTTTTTTATTTAGAGAAAAAAGACTTGCTAAATTGCCTAGGCTGGTTTTGAATTTGTGATCCTCCTGTCTCAATTTCTTAAGTAGCTGAGATTCCACATATCCACCAAATTCAGCCAAATTCTTATATTTTTACTTGTGATTTATTGGATACTAACTTAATGTTCATACAGAATAAAACTGTACTATATATTGGGTGATATTTCTGAAGTGTGTGTGGGAAGATATGTCAGTAATCAACACATTCGAGATACCAGTTTATAGGAATAAGATACTAGTGCTATCATATAAACATGTGTTTAAACATGTATTTTTCTCTTATGTATTGCTATAACTAGGGTTAATTATTTTAATAGTAAAGTTCCTTAAACTTTTATTTGAATTGGAAGATTTAGAATGTTAAAGGGTGGGTGTTGTGGTGCACACCTGTAATCCCACTGTTCAGGAGGCTGAGGCAGGGGATCACTCCATGTTCCCAGGGCCAGCCTGGGCTATATAGTGAGTTCAAGACCAGTCTGAACTACATAGTGAGACTGGTCTCCAACTGCCCCACCAAGGTTATACAGATTTATTTGAAAATATAAAAATATTAACCAATAGTTATTTCAACTTCTAGCTTTGAATGCTTGTACAGTATTTCAGTAACAATATAAAGAGAATGTTTATTGAAAGTTAAGCGTATGCTTGGTTTATTGCAGTTGGTCATTATTACATATCTAAGGCAGGTAATCTTATTCAGATGATTTTGCCGCGTTTGCAAAAAGGGAAAAGATGAGTTTTCACCAGGGGTAATAAGTGGTAAACATTTTGGAGGAAACAAAGGTTTGTTTTATTGCCAACAAATGTAGGAAAATAGGCCACATAGAAGACTCGAAGAATTATACTCAAAAATGGGAGAGGACATGGATTCAAATGAGAATGGTGAGGTATATAGAACAGAGGACACCAAGTCAAAGAGAAACTTTACAGAACTTGGGATTGGATCAGAAGTAATCAGCAAGAGACAGACATGCAGGTATAGACAGGGAGTCTGCAGGAGAGAAACTTTAAAGAAGCCATGAAGAGATGGCAGTGTAGCCAAAACAAGACTGTTGCATACCTGCTTTTGTGTCACCTAGGAACTTTATTCAAAGATGTCTTAGGGTACTTACTTTCCAGTTTGACTATTAATATTTTATATTTTAAAAAATTCTTAACTGTATAGGTATTGATGGATATGTTTCATCAAGATGTGGAAGATATAAATATATTATCTTTAACGGATGAAGAACCTTCCACCTCAGGAGAACAAACTTACTATGATTTGGTAAAAGCATTTATGGCAGAAATTCGACAATATATAAGGGAATTAAATCTAATTATAAAAGTTTTTAGAGAGCCTTTTGTCTCCAATTCCAAATTGTTTTCAGCTAATGTAAGTATATTTTTTGTTACTATGTTGTTAAATTTGCATGATCACTTAAAATTTGAATTTGTATAGTTGATGCTAATTTGTTAGTGTTTGTAATTGTGGGGTTTAATTTATGATCACAAAGAAAGTGAATACTACAGTACTTTCTCTTTTAATTAAGACTTTTTTTAATGTTAAAGAGGAAAACAAAAGCAAGAAGAACAAAGACAATACAACACTTTCAAAAGATTGCACAAGAGAAATTAAAAGACAACTCCAAAGTTTTGATTATGTAAATGAAAGTGAATTCACAGAATCTTCCATGTACTCCTAAGAACAAATCTTCTTAGGTGGAAGATAGTTTTACCTGGCTCGTTTGAGTCATCTCACCAGTGCCTCCTCAGTGCCAGCTGTACTGGCAGGCGCTGTGCTTAGCCATAGGGATTCAGAGATACATGAGCAGCAGTTTCTTCCTTAAAGTTCAGCCAATATAGTGATGTGAACTTAAATCTTAATTGTATTACAAAATGGTAGTAACCATAACAAATAATGACAGCAATAGTGGAAATACAGAAGAATGAGCCAGTAATGGTGAAATTTAGATGGGACCATTGGTTTTAAAAAAAGTAAGATAACCTAATTGGGACCTGAGGAAATGCTGAGTGAAAATCAGTGAGGTTGCGTAAAGGTATTACATTACTAGTAATTCCTAGAATCATAGCCGTACAATCATAAATGGCTAATGGAGAAACATTACTCACCACAGAAGCTGGCATTTGCGCTCAAGGTATGGCAACAAGTAAACATTAAAATATGAAGGCATAAGGGCTAGAGGTATAGCTTGGGGTGGAGCATTTACTTACGGTGTGAGGCCTGCCTTGGGTTCAATCTTCAGCAACACAAAAATAAGGGAGCAGATTGCAGTGCTAATTGCAAAACAAAACAAGGTCTTGGTGGCACATGCTTGTAATCCCAGCACTGGGGAGGCTGAGGCAGGAGGATTGGTACAAGTTTGAGACCAGCCTGGGCTACAACGTGAGCTCAAGGCCAGCCTGAGCTGAATAGTGAGACCTACTCTCAAAAAAGACCAAAAAACTCCAAAGAACATATATAGTGTTAGTTGCACAAATTTATAAAGACATTAAAAATCATTGAATTACTTTAAATGGATAAATTGTATGGTTTGTGAATTGTGTATTAGCAAAGTTGTATAAAACTTTTTAAAAAGTAGAGGCAAAGATGTCTTGAGACACAAAAATCAAGAACTAAGTATTAGCCAAAATATGTTCAACACCTATAAACGTTGGTGACATACAAATTAAAGTAGCAGTGAGTGCTGTTACATACGTATTAGAAAGACCGGAAAGAAATCACTGACAATACCCAGTGTAAAGGATGTGGAGCAGTTGCTTGTAGGAATGTAAAACACCCATAGTACGAGTGAGCTGTCACTGGGGTCTTCTTGGGTGGGGGTTAGTACTAAGGATTGAGCCCATGGCCTTGCCTGTGCAGCCAGTGCTCTGCCACTAACCTGCAGCTGAAGCCATGAGTATAAGCTAGTACAAACATTTTAGGAAAAGTTTCACAATTTAATGTAACAGATATAAACCATTCATACCATCCAGCAGTTCTACTTAGATTTTACCCAGATAAAATGAAAATATGTCCAAATAAAATTTGTTTATGAATGTTCATAGCACCTTTACTAGTAATAGCCTAAAACTGGAAAGAACCCAAATATCTACCAAAGAAGAATGGATAAATTATGATCTGACAATTTAACAGCAGTAAAACAGAATGAAATAGTTATGCATGGATGTATCTCAAAAAGTGAGCAAAGAAGCCACACACAAAAGATCAGATATGATTCCACTTAACTTGATATTCTAGAAAAAATACTTTTTTAGTGACAGAAAGGAAATTGCAGTTTGCTAGGAGCAAGAGCAGTAAGGGTTGGCAGGGATTATAAGGAAAGTCTTACAAAATAGTTATTTTGTACAATACAGTATATGTATGTGAACCACATCTCAAAGTTGATTTTACAGAAACTATAGTGTAGTCATAGATAACAAAAATTGAATAGTAGTACCAGTGAATTTTAATGTGACAGTACAAAATTCATCTGGTTTCAGACTCCATGTTGCAACTGACCTTTAAAAAATACCACCTATTAAATTTTGGTGCAGCGACATAAAAGGACATTCACTCCATTAATATGAAATGTCTAGAATAGACAGATTCATAGAAACAGAATGTAGACTATTGGTTACCAGAGATGGAGAGAAGAGGAATAGAGAATGACTGATAACCTGGAGAGTGTCTTTTGGGTAATGAAATGTTCTAAAATTTGGTAGATCTAGATTTCTAGATTAGGTATGTACTCTTGTACATACATTGATAATTATTAAACACTAAGTCATTTTCTGATTTTTTTTTTTTTTTGGAACCGGGGATTGAACTCAGACCCTTGCGCTTGCCAGGGAAGCGCTTATTCCACTGAGCCACCTCCCTGGCCCTAAACACCTAAGTCATTTTACAAGGAGAATTTTGTGATATATAAATATTTCAGTAGAAAAATTAGAAACAAGTATATTCTCAGTTATTTGAATAGACTATCAAAATTTTCCTCTCATTCCTACTACATATCTGTATAAAGCTGATTTTCTTCACACTGAATGCCAAAATCTGTAACATGGGTATTGTTGTATGTTACCCTGTTTTTGTCTTTGTGATTTTTGTCCTTGCTTTTATTTTTACTTTTCAAAATAAAATAAAATTAAAAAAAAAAAGAAAATTGGCATTGCCTAAGAAAACAGTTCAAAGAAATACGAACTAAAAATTAGAATAATAATTAGGTCAAATTATTCTGATATTATAGGATTCAGTGATCTGTTTGTGATACAAAATTGTTCATGAAATTAAAATATTTTATTACATAGTACTTAAGCATGTAAGGGGAGGTGATCTAATGACATTGTCATGTTGCTTTGCTATCTTTTATTTTCTCCTGCAATTAAAAATTTGCCTAATCCAAGAAACTCTGTTACAGTGTTTAATAAAATGGGTTGAAAGATTTATTTAAAAAATATATATGAAAATCCTACTGTATTCTTTTAAACTGTGTTAGATTTCTAAACTGTAAAACCATACAATTTTTGACTGTTTTAGAAACTTATTTTTTCATGAAAATATTATTTATGTTAACATAATAATTTATTGTTATTTTAAAATAAATATTTTTTAAATTCTTGGTTTTAACTTCTGTTATGGTAACTATTTTTTTTTTCAAAATTTTATTGATAAACAGATAGCAATGAGACAGTTTCAAACCAAATCGGTAGTACAGCTTCAACAACCAACACACTGCATATATTCTTCTTAGTGGTTAATTGCTGTACAAGATGCGGACTTGAGATCCTATTTACAAACACCATTAGAACAAATCATTCTATTCATTAAGAGAATGTAACTATATATCTATCCTAACCACTTTGAATACATATACACAAAATGGACATTCATCTGTATACCCCTTTTTTTCTAAGTTCCGTTATTTGAATATTATAGGTGTGTTAACTCAGCAAAATAATCTAAAAGAGTTCCGTAGTCCATAATAGTATTGGGTCTTCTGTTTATGGTAACTATTGGTAGATATTAAGCAACAACTTTTTTTAAAAACTTCAGTAATTTTTAAGTGTGAAGAAATCCTTTGACAGAAAGTTTGCACTGTACTGGCATAAAGAAATATATTTGTACATTATACATCATTGTAAAGCAAATTCTTAATTGCATTTATATCTGTAAGTCATTAAAATTTGTCAGTGAATCTGCCATATTAAATTTTGAATATAAAATGAATTACTAGCTAAAAATTGTCTATTATTGTATCTAACTGAATTAAATTAATCTATTTCTCTCTTCCCTCCACAATAGGATGTTGAAAATATATTTAGTCGAATAGTAGATATTCATGAACTTAGTGTAAAGTTACTGGGCCATATAGAAGACACTGTAGAAATGACAGATGAAGGCAGTCCCCATCCCTTAGTAGGAAGCTGCTTTGAAGACTTAGCAGAGGTAAGTCCTTCAAGAAGTCTATATGTGAGTTTCCTTTTGCATTATAATGGGGAATCTTAATTCTTGCTTATAGCCAAAATCATAGTTACTAATTGTTGACTGTACCAAATTAGTTACTGCTTAAATTTCTTATTTCCCGTTTTCTCATAGGTCATTGTAAACATTTTTTTTTTTCTGTTATCAAACAGAAAAACAGATCTTACAGGGGAGAGATGTGACAGCTGACACCTAATGGTCTACTACCAATTCTTTCATAGTAGGGCCAAGAAAAGCAGTGAATCAATGAAGTATTTGGATCTGGGCTCAGACTACTTGTGTTCCACTATAATTTCTGCTGTTTATTAGTTGTGTGTCCATGGGCAAGTTATTCAAGCATGATGATAATAATAGGGCTTAAGATTTCTGTGAAAATTAAGATAATCTGTGTGAAGTATTCAGCCAACCACCTTTATACAATGAGCTACTCAGTATGTAACTGTTTAAATATTATTTAAAATAGGACAAATGAAGTGACAAGTCATGTACAAGACCCAGATGATTGAGGTTTTATAGGGCAGAAAAATCTGATAAACTTCTCTAAATCAAACACTAATAAAATATATGAGTTAGTCTTAATAAGTTAGCATTGATAGTAATTCTCAGGTTTCTAGCTTTTGCTGTTTTCACTTTAAAATCAACTCTATCTTTTATTATAACACTGTATTGAGCTTGTTAAAAGTATATACATAATAATGGCTAGACTACAGGAGAATTTAAAAACCAGAAAAGAATGCTCTTATTTCTTTTATTTAGCATTCTATTAGAGATATAGCCTGATGCAAGAAATACAGAAATGGAATAGACAGGCTAAGTTGTCCTATTTGCCACTTAAGTTTGTCCAATTGGTAATCTGTGTAATTGTCTATATAGCAAATCTAAGATGTATATATCGTTAGAACTCATAGTCAAGTTCAGTATAATAACTAGATAAAAGATCAGTATATAAATGTCGACAGCATTACTGTGCCCAGTTACAACCCCTTGGATATACAGTAGTACCTCTTCACAAACTTACTTCTTTCCATGTTTCTGGTCCAAACTGAATTGGATGAGAACTGAATCAAATTCAATGGTTAGGTTCGATGTGGACCTTGTTGGGAAATCAGATTCAGTTCTCATCCAATGTGATTTGCAGCCAGAACTGTGGAAAGAAGTTCATGAACTGAAGTACCACGGTATAACATCCAAGCAAAAGGCTTTCTTCACTTTTTGATTGTACGGTACTCAGTAGTAAACCTCCTGAGGGACTCAGGATATGGCTCAGTCCCGGATTGCTTTTCCACCATGCATAATGCCCAGGGCTTGATCCACAGCAACACAGCCACATACACACAGTGATAAACCTAGTTATAGATATGTAGGACTTTTGTGTTAAGAAAAATAATTTGATACATGAGGAATATATGAATAAATGGAGTATATACAAGGTTTATTGGTAGATACAGTATTTTAATAATGCTAATTATCTATAAAATAATCCATAAATCCAGTACAAGGCAAGCTAATCCTAAAATTCATGTGTAAGAATGTAGAGACAAAAATAGCAATTTGGAACAGAACCAGTTGAGGGCAATTGTCCTATCACATGTTAAGATTTATTATAAAGATGCAGTATTAAGTAAGTGTGTAGTACTGATGCTGATGTGGACAATCAGTGTATAACAGAATAGAGAGCCTGGGAAAACATACATGTCCACTCCTAATATGTGACAGAGATAAAAATCAAATCAGTAGAGAAAGAAGAATTAATAATTGATATTAAGTCAAAAACTAGTTTTCCATATGCAAAAAATTTTATCTGATAACTTGCATTATGCTCAAGAAGTTTTTTTGTTTTGGTTTTTTTTTTGGTAGTACCAGGGATTGAACTCAGGACCCTGTGCTTTCCAGGCAAGCACTTATTCCACTGAGCTATCTCCCCAACCTCCTCAAGTTTTCTGACTTAGGTACTTTTCTTGTTGCTGAGATAAAATATCCAATATCCAAAGTTAAGGGAGGAAAAGTTTATTTAAGCTCACCGTTTGTAGAGGTTTTAGTGGAAAAGTTCATGGCAGGAAGGCTTAACAAACCAACAAAGGACCTTAACAGTACTATTCTGGCCCTGTTCTATTATATCTAGAGTGCTGGGATTAGGGGTTGTCAAACCATTCAGTGGATTAGTTAAGTAATCACACATCTTTAATCCCAGTATCACACCCTGTAGATTTAGCCATGTCCCACAAAAGCCCCACGTATGACTGTGTGAAACTTTAGGGGAATATTTCAACCCAAACCATAATATTCTCAGTGTTCTGGATTAGAAAAATCAATAATGTTAAAATAACCACACTGCTACCCAAAGCAATCTGCAGCTTCAGTGTATTCTCCCCTCAAAATAACCTGTAGCATTTTTCACAGGCTAGAAAAAAAATCCTAAAATTTATATGGAATCGTTAAAAAACACCAAATAGCAAAGCACTCTTGAGACAAAAGAAAAGAGTGGGAGGGGTTATACTGACTTCAAAATATATGCTACATGGAGCTGGGAATGTAGCTAAGTTGTAGAGTGCTACTTGCCCAGCATGTTCAAGGGGGTTTAAAAAATGCCCAGCACTGTAGAAAACAAAAAAACTACAAACTGTAATATTAAAATAAACATGGTACAAGCATAAAATATACAAATGTATAGAATATGCAGGATAGAAAGGCTAAAAGTTGGGCCGGGAGATAGCTCAGTATAATAAGCACTTACCTGGCAAGTGCAAGGTCCTGAGTTTAATCCCCAGTACTGCGGAAAAAAAAAAAAAAAATCTAAAAGTTAACCTGCAGATATCTACAACCAACTGATCTTCAACATAGGCATTATGACTAAACACCAGAAAAGCAATCTTTTTGGTAAAAAGGTTCTGGGAAAACTGGATATCCATATGCGAAAATATGAAATGATATCTCTCACCATAAATTCATTTATTTTAATTTGTGTGTGTGTGTGTGTGTGTGTGTGTGTGTGTGTGTGTGGCCAGCTCAGCCCACCAGGGGGCAGGGCTGGCTGGCATGTGGTGCTGGGGGATTGAACCGCAGGCCCTGTGCTTTGCTAAGCTTGTTCTAAGTAGGTGCTTTAGATCACTGAGCCATCTCACCAGCCCTCTCACCATAAATTTTAAAAAATCACTAAAAATAAATTAAAGACTTAAATGTAAGATGCAAAACTGAAAAATACCAGGAAACAATGATGAAAGCTTTGAGATAGTAGAAGGGATAAGGATTTGTTTGGATAAAATCTCAAAGATAAAAAACAAAAGGAAAAATAAAAAATGGGAGAAAACTTTTGACACTACATCTTTTACTTAACAGGTTAATGTCCAGGAAATACAGCTAACTCAACTCAGTAGTATACACACAAAAACCCAAATTATTAATGGTTTAGATCTAAAATGCTGACATGTCTCCCAGAAATATCGTGTGTAGAGGCTGGCCCTTGGGAAGCTGATTGGATTGTGGGAGTGCTGTACTTAGCAATGGGTTAATGAATTGACACACTCGTGAGCACATAGTTGAGTGTGCAGTTAGAAAGTGGGGCTGTGACTTGGAGGCATGTGTTCTTGTCTCTGGCTCCTTCTTAGTTTTGCTTTTGGGCTGCCAGGATTAAGCAGCCTTCTCTGCATGTTGTTTCTGTCTTGGAGATAGCTAACCGAGGATTGAACCCTCTGATGTCATCAGCCAAGTAAACCAACTCCTTAAGTTGTGGCTATCAGGTACCTTGTCCCAGCAATGGAGAAGTGACTAATATATGTTTTATTTGAAAATTGAAAATACATAAATTTTCTCTAAAGAAAATATAAAAAATGTCCTAGGATCCCAGTACATGAGAGCAGAAGCAAGATTGCTGAAAGTGTAAGGTTAGCCTAGGTTACATAGTGAGTTTGAGACCAGCCTTAAAGTTTAAGGATCCTATATAGCAGGACCCTAACTCAAAAAGTAATAACAAGAACAAAAAATAGCCAAGAGATGTATATGAGCCTTTTGGCCAGAACCACCATCTTCCAGTAATTTGCCAAAATGACTAACACAAGGGGCAAGAGGAGCGGAACCCAGTATATTGTTCTCCAGGCCTTTTAGAAAATATGGGGTTGTTCCTCTGGCCACATACATGTGAATCTATAAAAAGAGTGATATTGTCAACATCAAGGGAATGGGTACTGTGCAAAAAGGAATGCCTCACACATGTCACCATGGCAAAACGGGAAGAGTCTACAGTGTTACCCAGCATGCTGTTGGCACTGTTGTAAACAAGCAAGTTAAGGGCAAGATAGTTGCCAAGAGGATTGATGTGCATATTGAGCCTGTTAAACACTCAAAAAGTCATGAGAGCTTCCTGAAACGTGTCAAGGAAAATGATCAGAAAAAGAAGGAAGCCAAAGAGAAAGGTCCCTGGGTTCAACTGAAATGTCAGCCTGCCCCTCCCAGAGAAGCACACTTTGTGAGGACCAATTGAAAGGAGTGGTTGGAACCTATTCCCTATGAATTCATGGCATAAACTGGGATGTTGCTCTGCCATTCAGTACTTAATCAGCAGCTTAAGTGTTTTAGGTCCTATGTAAAAATAATATCATTCTGTGCTGTAAGGGTGGTTTTCTTGGTTGAACAGGTATGTGGTACCTTCTTACCTCAGAAATATTTGCAGCAGATTTTCACTGTACCTAGTAATTATGTCTAGTCTTTACTCTTCAGTGTTTTTCTTGCTGAAAAGATATTGCTGAGGTATTGTGCAGGTGTATACCCAAATATTCAAATATTTTTAAAATATTTATATTGGCTTGAAGATCCTGTAAATCATGATGGGGAAAAGATGTATCAAAATAAATGGAAGTCACTTCAGAAACAATATAAGCCCATTTCAGTTAAAGAAATTGTTTAAAGCAAAAAAATTTTAAAAAGAGGTGTATGAACACTGCTCAATGTGGGTAATCATCAGAAAAGTGCAGATATCATCTCACTCCAGTTAGAATGGCTGTTATCAAAAAGACAAATGATAGTAAGTACTAGGGAGGATGTGGTGAAAAGCCACTAATGTTATTGAGAATATAAACTGGTATAGTCATTATAGGAAAAAACATATGGATACTCTTCATAAAATTAAAAATAGACCCATATGATCCAGTAATCTGACTGCTGGGTATATATAGTCCCTTGCTTTTTGTGGTTCGACTTTCATAGACTCACTGTTTTGTGGGTTTTCAAAAAAAAAAAAAATTTTTTTTTTTTTTTTTGGCAGTACCAGGGATTGAACTCAGGACCTTGCACTTGCCAGGCAAGCGCTTATTCTGCTGAGCTCTCTCCCTGGCCTGTTTTCAAAAAATATTCATCTAAATTATTTATTGTGGACTTCTTACTATGTGGCAGGATTTTGCAGTACTGTACAGTATATAGTTAGAATTACGTAGGTTTATGAGTTTAAAAAATGAGTTTAGAACATTAGAATTGTTTTTAAAAGTGTGGGAAAGTTTTAAGAGTGTGGGAAGGGTTTATAAAGCCTTAAAAGAATATATAAATACCGGGGCCAGGGAGATGGCTCGGTAGAATAAGCGCTTCCTGGCAAGCACAAGGGCCTGAGTTCAATCCCTGGTTCTGCCAAAAATTAAAAAAAAAAAAAAATTATATATATATATTTGTAATGTTGTTACATCACTGATTTTCACGTGTCACGGGGTGTCTGGAATGGAACCTCTGCAGTAGGTGAGGCACCTCTGCATAGCCAAAGGAAATGAAGCCAGCAGGTTGCAAGGACATCTGTAGTGCCAATTTATTGGAACATTTTGCAGGACCAAATGTTGGCAGTGAAGTCCATTTGCAGGTGATAAATATAAACAACTTTCCTTTTGTAGTTTATATGTTTAAAAGTTTTTGATGCATATATGCATAAGAAGATAAATACCAAGTACTCGTTAAAGCAGTATTTATTATTTAAAAAAAATGGGATATTTTCTAAAAGGCCCTTAGTAGAGAGTAAAGAAAAATGATGTACTCATGAGGTAGAATATTATTGTCTTGGGCTTTAAAATAAATGAACTGTAAGGAACTGTACAAATCAGAATGGGTAAGGCCTTGTAAACAACTTTAAATATAGAAATTCAGTTACAGAGGAGTAACATACTCCCTTCTGCTGCTGGGATGAAATACATAATGTACACAGCTTCAAGAAGAGGTTTATTTGGCTCAGTTTCAGTCCAGGTTGGTGGGCACCAAGGCACAAACACCACTGGCAGGTGGGCTCAGTGAGGAGAGCTGTTCAGCCATGAACCAGGGAGCACAGAGGCTGGGGTCAGGGCTGTGCCCCACTCCCCTAGGCCTCCTTCCCCCAAACAGAGCCCCTCCTAGCAGCACATGCATGCACCCCTGCAGGCACTCACCAGACCCGCCCCCCCATGGTTTCTGGACCCTGTAAAAGCCCCCTCTCTCAGCACTGCTGCACCGCAGACCAAGCAATCAGTACCTGAGTCTTTGGAACACTTCATATTTAAATGTATTTAAGTGGTGTTTGAAAGCATGAATGATACATAATTATATCAAAACAAAAGTGATAAAATTCAAATTCAGGAAAGTGATTACCAGTGGAAATAGACTTGCAAAGGATCAGGTACATCTTTTTTTTTTTTTTTTTTTTTGTGGACCAGGGGATTGAACTCAGGACCTTACGTATGCCTGGCAAGCACTTACTCTACTGAGCTTTTTTTTTTTAAAAAAAAAAAAAAAAAAACTGAGGGAAGTATTAAAACATGTCGATCTTTTCTTTTTTTCTTGTTTGCTAGATGGATGGATATAGTTAGGTTAGGCTGTTCTCTATACTTGTCACTTACACGTATTGAAAATTTTTATATTTTCTGTGAATCTATACTTATATTTTAGCTAATGAATCAATCATAAAATCATGTTAACTTAAAAATAGATTCTTAGAAGTGCATGCTATTCTACAGATTTATCTTCAAAAATAAAACTTTATAGTGATAGTTTGTATTCTCAGTGCATTGTCCTTTTTTTCCTCTCGAGACTGAGTAAACCAGCTACCATTTATTCAGTGTGTAGTATGTACCAGGCATTGTAAGTGCATTACACATGATATTTAATTTCTAAAACAGCCCTGTGAGGTGAATGTTATCCACACTATCTAATGAGGAAGGATAATTAGAGTAAACAGTTTGCTGAAGATCACACAATTAATAGTAAAATCAGAACTGGAACCTGGGTATCTATGACTCTTAATGCCTACACCTTTATTCAACCACTACACTATGCAAATCTTTTCTTTTGTCTATAGTTATAAAAAGTCTGTAATACATTAGAGCTTATTGAGAGATGAGGGAGGCCAACATGGCAGTCATGTCCGCTGTGTATTATAATTGTAGCAATTCAAAGAGACCCAAGACACAGACTTGACTGAGATCTTTATTCCTCTTCCTCGTCTACTTTTTATTCCTCACTGTTTCATGTTGTTACTGTTGAAATCTTACTGTCCACTTCTGTGAAATATATAAGGGACAATTGAAAAATGTGGTGTGCTCTTACGCTATACAGAAACCCTTCTATGAGAGGCATCATAGACTACAGGGGTCCTACTACCCAACAAACAGAATTTAACTAGAAAATACTAATTTATTCTATTAAATTATAATTAATAGGCATTATTTTTGTAGAGGATTTAAAAGGAATATATAGTTGTGTTGATACAGATGAGGTTATAATTTAATCTTTTGTGTTTATGGTGGTAAGTTATTTGTTTTACCTTGGAGAAGATTTATGTATTTATGTTTTACCTTTATTTTCTAAGGAACTGGCATTTGATCCATACGAATCGTATGCTCGAGATATTTTACGACCTGGTTTTCATGATCATTTCCTTAGTCAGTTATCAAAGCCTGGGGCAGCACTTTATTTGCAGGTACAGTAATTTTTAAATCAAGATGTACAGTGTCCAAAAAGTAAAATTCAAAAAATTAAATCACCTTCTTTTCTAGTCAATAGGCGAAGGTTTCAAAGAAGCTGTTCAGTATGTTTTACCCAGGCTCCTTCTAGCTCCTGTTTACCACTGTCTGCATTACTTTGAACTTTTGAAGGTAAGGAAACTCATTGGTATTTGTAAAATACTCTTAATAGGATAGCAAATTTGGTTTGCTTTTTGCTGGAAATCTAACCTGAGGCTTTAAACACATCAGTCTCAGGCCCTTGACCCCACTGAGCTTTGTCCCCAACAAATTTTATCACTTCATTTGTAAGTTATCATTTGACATCTGTGTAAACTAGTGTGTACACATTTTTGTTTTCCCAGTTTTAAAAAGAAATGTAAATAAAGCTTCAAAAGATAGCATATTTTCTTGTTTTAGCAGTGAATTGAATTTTATTTTATTTTTTTGAAATTTTATTTGTGTGTATATGTGTGTGTGTGTGTGTGTGTGTGGCCAGCTCAGCCCACCAGGGGGCGGGGCTGGCTGGCATGTGGTGCTGGGGGATTGAACCGCTGTCCCTGTGCTTTGCTAAGCTTGTTCTAAGTAGGTGCTTTAGACCACTGAGCCATCTCACCAGCCCTAGCAGTGAAATTTAAAGCAACTGTTAGATTTTTTTTTCTTGTGTCTTTTTTGTTTACATGGTTGTTTTTTGAAAAACCTCTGATTTATACATTCCAATTTCCATTTGGGACCTCAATACATTCGTGGACTCATATAAGGGATGTAATTTGAAGATAATGCTGAAATAATAGGGAAGGTTAATTTAACTAATTTTCATACCTCATTTGCAAATATCTCTGGTAAATTGCATTTTTATTTATTTATTTTTTTTCTGTATTTTAGGGAAGGGTCTACAGGGTATTCAGGGTCTTACTACTAGATCAGACTTGCAGTGATCCTCCTGTTTACAGCCTCCCAAGAGCTGGGATTACAGGCGTGCACCACCACACTGTCTCAGTCGCCATCTCAGCACGCCCCCGGGGACAGGGCCGGCACAGCAGGCACTGCAGGCCCGGGTATTGAACCCCTGGCCCCTGCACCTGCCGTGCCGGCACTTTAATCTGCTGAACTATTTGGCTGGCCCACATTGCTTATTTTAGAAGTGGTAAATTTGTAAAATCTCGTTAAAAATTCCCCATTTCATCATAGTTCACAGTAGTCAGAAGCACTGATCAAAAGGAAAGGGTTTTGACTTTTTCTCCTACTATACACTAAAACTAGAGAAAGGAACTCTTTGCACAAATAAAATTCAGTGGTGTAGCTCAAAGTCACAGTCTGTTTTAGTGAACTAGCAAGACATCTATTTACGCTGTTACTTTCTTACCTTGGGAAATAGCCATTTGCCTTGTGTGCTGGCTCAGTATCCCTTCTTTGAATGTAACCTAACACTCCTGTGGAGAGTCATGACTGACACACACTTAGGAAAAGGCTCTTGTCAGTCATTTTTAATCCGTAATATTTTTGTTCTCACCACCTATGAACTTTGTAAAGAGAGCCTAATTTTACAGTCACAAAGTATTTTTATTTGATAAGTTTTTCAAAATTTAAAAGACAAGGGCTGGGGAGAGGCTCAGTAGAATTAAGCACTAGCCTGGCAAGCACAAGGGTCTGAGTTCAATCCCCGGTTCTGCAAAAAAATAAATAAATAAAAGACACTAAGTATAGAGTCATTCATTAACTACAGTAGGAGCTGAGAAATGAAAATACAATGAATTTTATTTGTTTAATGCTTTATATAACATTTAAAGCAAGTAGACCTACACAGAGGAACTTAGTATTTCTGGTTCACTTTGATTGTTGAGCAAGGGAGAATGTTTGGTCCATAATAAAACTTTGCATGAATTGTTGAGAGTTGTTGGTTTAATCCTTTGCCAATTAAAACTGCTTACTGAAACTTTTTTAAGAAGCACACTTTTAATTGGAGGGAAAAAAGACAAATCATAAACAGGTACAAATTTCCTTTGACGAATGTGATCATTGTAGATGTATAAATTGTACCGATAAACTTAAATTAAATTTTAAAAAGTCCAAATAAAACAAATACTTGTTTTATCAAATAAACAATCTGTTCAGTATAATTCTGCTATAGAGAATGTGTTATTAGAAACTTGTAGTGTGCAGCTGTTGCTGATGACTAAATAGGCTCTCTGTGGTGAACTGGCACATGAATAGAAGACTTCTGAGCTTCATGAAGTGGCAGAATTTTAGCCCTACACTTTCCTTCCATTTACTGTCTGCCTTATAGTAACCTGGACTTGATTACATTAAATTTCTTAAGAATGTCTGAGTGGGAATGGAGTAAGGGAGTTAAAGGGTAGTATTTAATCACTAGGCAGAATTAAAGCATTATTAGCAATCTGTTCAAGACTGAAAACAATATACCTTTTAAATCTTTTAATTGTTTTTAAGAATTTATTGTGATAACCACAGTCATTATCTGCACTTCATTTATCTTTATTAAAATTCTGAAGGATTCAAAAGATGGTATTAGTTATTCCCAAAGCAGTAATTATTGATTAAATAAAAACAAAAATGCTGGATGTAATGGTAACAAGATAGCTCAGCAGACTAGGTGCCTGCTTTGGCAGCACAGGGAACAGGGTTCGATCTGTGCCAGCCCTGCCCCCAGCACGTGACCCAGTCCAGGTGTGGTGGCACTTGCTTGTAATCCTAGCACTGGGGAGGCTCAAAATAGAAGGATCTCTACAAGTCTGAGCTGCGTAGTGAAACCCTGTACCAAATACATAAAATGAAAAAATGCTGAGTGTGGTGTCAGATACCTGTGATCCTAGCACTCTTGGAGGTTGAGTGAGGCAGGAGGATTGCAAGATCAAGCCCAGGTTGGGCAACCTAGCAAGAACCTGTCTGAAAATACAAAAGTTAAATAAAGGCTAAGGGTGTAGCTCAGTGTGAAGACTTTTGGTTCAGTCCTTAGTAACACACACACACACACACACACACACACACACACACACACAGAGCTAGCTACAATTTAGAAAAGTTTTTATAACAGAACCTAATCATTTAATAAGAGAATTTACTTACTGCTTGAATTTAGATAATTAAATTTTCTAAAGTTACAACATCATAATAGACTCATATAATAAGTGTATCCTTCAGCAAGATTTCTGATTGAAAGATGTGTATCCCTGAATCATGTTACTGCCTAAGCTATAGAAAGCTTGTCTCCTCAATCCATTCTTTAATCTCTGTTGTCTCAGCATTAATGCATGGCTTGTACTCATGTTTAATTTGTATTTGTTGGCATGTTGCTGACCTACACGTCTTCACTGACCAGTATTTTCAAGTACATTCTTTGGGCTGCTATTGTCATGGCACCCTCTAAATAACGGAGGAGGATGTCAGGAGGGCAGAGGTTTGGGAAGCACTGTGTCATTGCTGATACTCCTAAAGATGTTCATGTACAGTTGAATACGACTTTCTGCAAAACTGCATGATAAAATAATCATTTTCTAGAATTTTTCAAATAAGTTACACCATTGAATCTATTTAAAATGGAAAGCATTTATAAAATTATATAATTACAGAAACTACCATGGAGATTCTCCCCATCAAGTGAACTGAAAGAGCATTCAGCTTTTAAGAGTCCAAGATCTTTTTCCAACTACATGATTTTTACTAATTCTACATTTCTTCTTTTGGGAGTTGTTCTTACTCCAGACCTCAGTCCAAACTTGGTAATTGGGGAAAAAATGGAGCAGCCGGAGGCAGCAAAGCCTTGTGACATCAGGGACAGTTGGAAACTGACCACAATTTCAAAGTTCAGTGGCTTTTGAAAGCTTACTAGATAGGTGCCCGCCATCTCTTCTCTTGTTCTAGGTCAGTGGCCTACTAGCTGTGTGGCCTGAGCCAAGTCACTTCTTTTTGAGCCCTGGTTTCCTTATTTATGAAGTTCCTATTATCACTGAGTAGTCTGTCCACCAAAATATACATGTAAAAGTACTTCATTATAGTAAAGAACATAAAGCCTGAGTATTGTCATCACTAGAATTTTTTTTCTTGTCCTACAGATACCCTTTTGCGGGGTGGGCTATGAAGTTCACTCTGGTCTTGAACTTACTGTGTAGCCCTGGCTGCCCTCGAAATGCAGCGATCCTCTTGTTTCAGCCTCTTGAGTGCAGGGTTTCCAATTGTGTGCCCAGATTGGTAGACAGCTTAAACTTAACATTTCATTCCCTTCCCTCACACCACAGCCCCCTCTCCTGCCTGCCTAAATCTGTACTTTTCCCTGTATTTTCTGTCTCTATTGATTGCCTCATGTCCCTCTATTAGAAGCCATTGCACCATCTCTTTGATTCTTCCCTATCCCTTTTAAAGGGATCTAGAGACTGGCAGGTTGTGTCCATTCTTATGGACACTGTCTTGAGTCGAAGCCCTGAGCATGTCCTGCCTGGACCATTGCCGCACCTTCTTTATGTGGTCCTTCTATTCCTTGGAATGCCCCAGTTGAAAGGTGTAGTTGGTTTCCTATCATCTGTAACACAGAAATCTAAATTCTTTAGCTTTGCTGACGCTATCCCTGCAACTTCATCTCTCAGTATTTAATCCAACCTACCTTACACTGTAACCGTTAAGGATTTCTTAGTGGCTATGGATGTACCAAATGTGTTCAGAGTTATTTGCATGTCCTTTTCCCCACATTTACATGGAATATCTCTTCTTCAAACCCCGCTTTTTACGTGGGAATTTCAGAGGATTTCTTCAAGTGTGGACTCCTCTTAAGTTTCCTTTGGTTGCCTAGGCTGACCCTTTCACTAAACATCTCTTCACATCTCTTTGTAGAGCTTGCCCCTGTCCTGCCTCATCATTAGCACATGTGGTCCATGAGGAATGGAACCAGGCCCTGTGTATCTTTACATTCTCATTTCTAACTTGTGCTGATAGGCTTTTGATAAATGCTTGTTTAAAAATGAATGGCCCAAAATAGCTTTTCTTAGAATTCCTGTATAATTTTGTGTTTGTATGTATGCATGTGTATGTGTTTCCAGCACAAGGGATCACACTGACCTGCATCTCTAGTCCTTTTTTTTTTTTTTTTTTTTTGCAGAACTGGGGATTGAACTCAGATCCTTGCATTTGCCAGTCAAGCA